TCCTGGAGCTATTTAACCTAGTGGAGACCGTTTTATTTAACACACACTCTTTAGCTTATTTCTTAACTAAAATTTTAGTGAAAGAATAGAATTATTACTTTCTTTAATAACTGGTAGCCTCATTTACCACAGTACTACAGTGCCACTCAATTGTTGAGTTTGCCTCTATATCGTAGCAAACTGCAGGCTTGAGCAAGGGGATGCAGGCACCTGTCTGTATTCTGACTCTATTACACACATTTTCACCAAGAAGTCTTTGCTCGTGCAGTGTGACTGAACAGCAATCTCCTTTCTTCTGCTCAATTCTACTTCCCCTACACCAATAAAGTATTAACATACACACCCTTCTTTCCGGTCTCTACGGTGAATTTAAACAATTATCCTCTCCCAATTCTTTAGAATTAGTTTCTGTCTTATTAACTTCATTGTGTGCACCCTTTGTGTTTAGCTTATCATGCCGTTTTTGAAACTTTATAAAAACTAGGTAATCTTATATTTGTGCTCAGAATGACCTTTGCTTTGTGTTAGTTTTACAAAACTGGGCACTCTGACAAAATTCAAGAGAGCACATTATTAAATCAATAAAATTCTATCAGAAAATTCAAAGTCACAATTGCAATGCGGGGCAGCAGATTGGTATTTTTTTTTTTTTTTAAGAGCTGTGGGAAATTAAAAGTATAGAGCATTAAGCTTAGCAAGGTCAGATGAGTTTTGGAGATGGAGGGCAGGAATGGCTGCACAGCAAAATTAATGCCTTTAATACAACTGAACTACAACTGTTCACTGCAGAATAATTAACATGATTTTTTTAAATGTTTATTTGTTTTTGAGGCAGGGTCTCTTTGTGTAGCTCCGGCTGTTCTGGAACTTGCTCTGTAGACCAAAGTGGCCTTGAACTCACAGAGATCCACCTACTTCAACCTTCTGAGTGCTGGGATTAAAGGCATGTCATGGCTGGCTGGTCTATGTATTTGCCGCAATTTACATGTTAGAAAAAATATAAGAAAACATGTTGCATTGTACTGTATTTAGTACTGGGGAAAATTAACAAACTCCCAATCTGGTATGTGAGGTAATTTGTGCTCAGACGACAACAGTCTTGGAGGTTATTTGTGTGTGCCGTGGAAAAAGGAAATGTAACATGGTTGCAGAGACGAGGGTGACGCTGGTCTCTGTGGGCAGAGACGAGGGTGACGCTGGCCTCTGTGGGCAGAGACGAGGGTGACGCTGGTCTCTGTGGGCAGAGACGAGGGTGACGCTGGCCTCTATGGGCAGAGACGAGGGTGACGCTGGCCTCTGTGGGCAGAGACGAGGGTGACGCTGGCCTCTGTGGGCAGAGACGAGGGTGACGCTGGTCTCTGTGGGCAGAGACGAGGGTGACGCTGGTCTCTGTGGGCAGAGATGAGGTAACAGGAGGGTAGAAATCTATTGTTAAGCTGTGGAGAAGACTTGGCATTTGGGTTTGGCTTGGAAGGTACTTCAAAATATTCAGACTGTCAGGAGAGAAGATTGTGTAGGCAGAAGAGCAGATGTAGCGGATGGATGGATGAAACGTTGGTCAATGATGAAAGCTCTGTCTGGGGGAAGCATAGAATACATGGAGAAGAGCGTTTGGAGATGGTGTCAGCAGGGTGACTTTGGATTTCATTCCAAACCAATGGTCTTTGTGAGAAGTGGACTTCAGAGTCACTTGTGTTAATATGGAAACAGCCAGATTCACATTTCTCACGGGAGATTTGGTTTAGTGGGTCCAGCATGGAGCCTGCGTTAATACCTGTCAAAGCTTCACGGTGATTTACCTGTGTTTTCGTAATCATTACCTCAGGGCATGAGAAACTACTGAAAGTATTTTTATAACAAGACAGATGGAGACAAGCTAGAAAGTCCCTAAGTGACAGTTTGAATTAAGTCAATGAGAATAGAGAGAAAGGAGAAGGGAGAGGAATTCAGGAAGTCAGAATTATTGGAATAATCAGAAGACCAAGATGTTAGACCTGAGTCATATAACTGGTTTATGGCAGACTACTAATAAAGCAAATGTTGGCATAGCATGTCTGGCCTTTAGCTATCAGGATAGACACTCAGTAACTGTTGGCTGAATGAATACTAAATAAATTTAAATTCCCAATAAATGACTAGCTATGTAAATGAGTAAATAATAGTGGTTTCCCAGGATGGGCTTTCTTATTCTTCAGTTTTGGAGAAATCTAGCTGCCTGCAGATGGATGGAACAGGGAGCTACAGAAGAAATGTATACAAATCCCAAAGATGCGTAACAGAAAATGCTGAAAGTTGGGAATGCTTGGGGGAAGTCTCAGAAAGGCTGTGGTTCCTGCTTTTCTCTGCAATACAGAGAAATGATGCCACAGTGTGACAGCATCAGCATGAGGTGGTGTGTCTGAAGCCAAACTGGGGAAGTTCCAACTCAGCACGCAACGGCGATCCATGGCTTTTGGACAGGCGACTTTCAGAAACATCAAAATCATGTGCGTTGGGAGACCCTAAAAGCACCCAAGGGGGAGGACGGATTGAGGAAGAAAGAAATTTAGGTCAAGAAAATCGGAAGTTTCCAATGAGGGTATGAGCAAAATACAGCCACAGGAAACTAACCGAGGATGGCTGAAGAAGAAGGAAGAAGGGAGGGAAAGGAGGGAGAGGATTCCCTGTTAAATAAGTGAATATGCATGAGCTGGCCCAAGTCCAGGTAGTGAAAGTAGGGAGTTAAGTCAGGAAGGTGAGCAGTCTCAGGTGAAGATAAATGACTTCGAGCTGGAATAAATATTCTGAATACCTGGAAATGCAATAGCAATTTACAAACCACAGCCAGACGTTTAAGTGATAAGTGAAGTTAGGGGAGTGAATGACATGACCAAGGACAGGACACAGAGAAACGTCACCAGTGGGTTCGTAGGAGGAGTAGGAAGAGGGATGGGAGGAAGAAGTGTGATTTGGAAAGTGTGCCTTTCAGGAACAGGAAAGGGAGCCTCAGAAGGATGGGGGCGGGGCCGTGGGTTGTCTAGAGAATTTGAGGTAGAGGCAGACTGAGGTAAGGTGAGTCTGCCCACACACAGCGAAGTATAAACACTAGTGTGATGACGTCTAGCTCACCGGATCACAGAGGGATGCTCAGAGAGGCAGACGCTGATAGTAGACTCAGCAGGGTTGACTGTGAGCCTCCTGGTATCACTGACATTTCCTTTTAATGAGCCCAGTGTATCACTGTAAGTTTTCTAGGTGGTGAAATAACTCATATTCAAGCAACCGGGCAAGAGGAAGTGTATACAGACAGCATCAGATTGCTGATGCATGAAAACTTCAGTGAGAAGTTTTTCTGAATCCTCGCTCAGGTCTCGGCATTTCTTGCAGAGTAATCAGCATTAAAATGACTGCGGCTGGGAATGTCAGTTAGGTGTCATACATATAACTGGTCCTCTGGGAACATGGGTATCCACGCTGGTTTTTGTTTGTTTGTTTGGTTTTTGTTTTTTGTTTTTTTTTTTTAATCAGAAACGAAATCCTCATACAGATATATCTGTCTCTGGACTTTGTAGCCCATTCCATTTTTGTGACAGACTGGTTGGAATTTAATTGGCCTTACCTGGAAGTTATAGATTAACTTGAGAACTTTCATTTTTTCAATAGTCAATGTACTACAGAGAGGTTCTATAAGCCTTCTTCTACATCTCTCAGAGGAAGATAATTGCTTTTCATATAGGTCCTAAAGATGACTTTTGACAATTTATAACTTTTTCTCTATTGAGTTACTGTTGTCATTGTATAACATCATACATAGGAAATGTGTATGCCATGCATATATGTATTGTACAAGTATATATGAATGTGTGTACATGCATATGTATGTATGTATACATGGATGTGTATGTATGTATATGTGTAGGTATGTATGTGTGTACATATATGTGTGTACGTGTGTGTATGTGTATATGTACGTATATATATATATATGTGTGTGTGTGTAGGTGTGTGTGACAGATGTAGATGTCCTCCCAGAAGGACAAATTCAAGTTTCTAACAACATCAGATCCTAATACACATACAAAATCAGTGGATAATAGTAGCATAGGAAATAAAAAAATAAATCCTGTTTGTTTTGCCAGTATACTGCTTGTCTGATGCTTCTTATGCTGAACTATAATTCTATAGCATTTAAATGTGGTATCTGCTCAGCCATCCCTGGATACCAGGAGCTGCATTCTGGAACTTTCCACAAAATTCCTACTCCTTTCCGCCCTGTGCTGGGATTCATGACCATGCTCTGGATTCTTACTATTCTGGGAATCTAGGGAAAGGAACTCACAACAGAAAGCCCCCCCCCCCCCCACTGCACACCGCTCTCATTGTAGATACAAATATTTCCAGAGTCTGGTAGAGCTGTGAGTCACAACGGGTCCAGGTGCGACCTTGCTTTTATCCTAAGTCCCTTTAAATGCTCTAGTTTGAACACTCTACTTAACAACAGTTCTAGGGAAGGAATAAGCAAAGGTTCCTTCCAAATATTCTGAGAGAAATGTTTTGGCCTCTGCAGGCCACGTGGATCCTGCTGTAGCTACTTACCGTGTCTTTTGTGGTGTCAAAGCATCTCGGAGAATAAACAAATGAGCCTGACTGTGTTCCAATAAAGCTTTAGTTAACCAGTTGTGGGCCAAGGTCCACCAGCATTATTTTCTAGATCCTTACATTATAGCAACACACTCCCAAGTCATTATTTACATTTTAGCAACACACTCAATTCTACAGAAGGAAGACTCATGGGATGCAAAACATTGAAGGGAACAAAATGAAGAAAAGTCACCAAAAATGACATCTTGCTAATCTCTTGACAATGGTTGTGAGCATGATCAACTTTTCTTTGTCTAAGGGCACAAGTTGGATTGTAGCTCACAATAAACATACAAAGGACATTGCCCCATGGCCATTGCTGTGGGAGGAATAGGTTGTCAAAAGGAAAATGATCACCATTTATACTAGCAGTAACTTACCAATCTTGTACAGCATTGAAGGATTCTTCATTTGTGATGTCATACATTAAAATGAAGCCCATGGCCCCTCGATAATAGGCTGTGGTGATGGTCCTGTACCTCTCCTGGCCTGCTGTGTCCTAATAAACAAAACAGTGAAGTCATCTCATCAATAGGGCAAGATACTGGGGAAGTGATTGATACTTTCCAGAGTAGTCACAATAGCATCTAAGACAGTGTGCGTATAAACACAGCTCTTTTACCCCTTAGTTTTGCTTTTCCTATTGATACTCAAAGTCAGTTCTGCAGTACTCTCAGAAATTCCTCCCTGCCCCTCCCTCTCCTCTTCCTTCCTTTTTTCTTCACTTTGTACCAATGAATATCGAAGTTTACTCTGCACCAACCAGCATACAACTATAGGAAAGAAAAGATTACATCAGTCTCAGATTGGTGACTCTTGACATACTTCAAAGCTAAAGGGTAACTTGGGTTCCATCACAACGTCCTTATACATTGCCTGCCCACGAGTACCAGCTGGTATGAGAACAAAGGGAACACGCTCTTCCTTTAAGGAGGTTACAGCCCAATGTCAGTTTAATCAACTCTGAGAGGACAACAAAGCACTTTCTTTCAAACGTGAGCTGGAGTTCCTGCTCCTCTGTCACGTGGTTGAGGGTCAGGGACAAGTATCTGAACCTTTGTAAATCGAACCCTTCTAAAGTTAAGCAAGTGGGTTGGGGTTCCAGAGCTTCTCAAACAGCACAAGACAAAGAGTGGCTAATCATTCACAAGGGCGAGTGTCATTCCTGTGAAGTCAGGGCTAACTTAGGATTGTAGATAGATGCCAACTTACAAATGAAGGGAGTAATGTCTGCAAAAGCCACGGCATGCCGCCGTGAAATCAGGACTCTGAGACACACAAATCCTCTAAAGGAATCCACTACCCCTCGCAGATACTGCTCAGGAAGAAAGGTTCCTCGGCTCACACTGTGGCTCCTCCTCTCTTCTATCAGGATTGAAAGCATCATTTCTAATTGACTTTCCCCTTTCCCATGCTCTTTGAAGAGTGTGCTTAGCTTCTCTTTTTATAAACTCTATAGGATCTTGATCTTTCTAACTTAGCATGGACCCTCTTCCTCAATCGTCCATAAGATGCCTCTTTTATAAAGAGTGCATCCCATATCCCTCTAAGACCTAGTAGGCCTCAGAGGGAGAGCTAACTTGTTGGATGATGCAAAAGAAGCTTTCCATGCCATCAAAATGACATTGCGATCCCATAGAGTTCATGTCGGATTCTGAATTTCACCCATAGACATCGCCCCAGTAGGGTCCTGACATCTCACAATGCAGCAGAGAGGAACATAAGATTTCTCACAGTTCTTCAATATTTTGTGTGCCACATTCATCTGCCACTCAGGTTCAGAGAAGAAGAAGAAGAAGAAGAAGAGGAGGAGGAGGAGGAGGAGGAGGAAGAAGAAGAAGAAGGTGACACTTAAGCATAGAAGTCAAGTCACAGCAAGGGGCCAGATTTCCAGCATCATTCTGACTGAACCCAGAAACAATCCAACTGGAAGTATTTGACACTAAAGCACTCAGGCAAAACAAGAAACTTTACCAAAGAAGGCAGGTGTAGGAAAAAGTACTGATAGAAAAATTCCTCCCCAAATGAGAACAATGTAAACAATAAACCTAGTCTAATACTCTCACACCAAACTTCCTCCCTGCTGGCTTTGGTATTGAAAACAATTTCAGGATTGCAAGTTTAATACCATTTCCTTACCATTTTACTGGTAAGAGGAAGGCAGGAAAATGATTCATTACATTTGACATTTGCTAATGATGATAAAAGGTTATATTTAAAATAAAGGAACATTTTATAATGTCAAGTGACACTTCTGTAATTAAACATGAGCAGTCTAGAAGATAGCGGACAAAACGGTGTCTGTCCTCGCTGGGTTCAGACATCTTAGTGTTGTTCTTCCTCCTGGTTTACTAACAGCTGGGACTATCTGTTGATGTCCTATAAATGTCACGTTCTCATGATGGAAAAAATGTGATTGGGAATACCTTACAGAGAAAACAATGAATAGAAATGTGACTACAAGATGAGAAATGCTCCTTCCACAAGCAAAACTCTTATTCCTCTTTATAGAAAAAAAATGTTTAGTTCTATACAAATATTGTTTTCAGGAGGCAGTTTTAATGTAATGGTGGGTTTGGTAACCAATGCTTGACTATCTGTCACGAAAAGACTCGTAAAATGGAAAATATTAGCAGCTTGATAAAAAGTAGCTAAGAACTCTTTCAATGTGAACTGTGCCATTTCTGTCTTTGCTCTTTGCCTTCAGTGATTTTCCTCAATGGAACTTCATCTTAATTGCACTTTCAAAGCATTCTGAAGTCAAGCAGAGATAATGTACAGTTTTAAGACTGTGGAAATAGCTTTCATTTGTAAAGTATGGGTTACACTACAATTTATTTCTTCTTTCCCTACTCATTTCCATATCAAATTAAAGGGAAAATAGAATGACCTATTAGTAAAGAAATGTAATGAAATATAATCACAATCAAATGCATTTATTGAATGTCTACACATACACACAATTAAACTGAAGAACAGAAAATAATGGCATGAAATAAAGCAGGCATCATTTTTTTAGTAGCTGGAGAAACCAAATCAAAGTGTATCTGTATTAACTGAGCGACAAAAGTAATTTAATTAAGATAAATGAAGTCATATATAATAGGTCAGTGGGAAAACAGCAGAAATGGGGGAGGGGTAGGAACACTGTAGCCCAAGACATAAACTCAATTTCACCAGTCAGTATCCAAACGGACACAAAGAAAGTGGAATAAATATCCAGTCATTCAAGCAGCTGGTGATCTTTTAACTAATATCTAACTACAGTTTTACCTCAAGGAATTGTTTGGAATAATCAAGAAAGATTAAATTATATCAGTATAGTTTAATATTAACATTGCTCCATCCATCCATCCAATAAATCTCTAATAAGCATTTATTAATAGCTATGGAAGGTAAAGGTATATTGCATATATCCATTCTAGGTAGATTTTGGATACTGCGAAATTTTACCCATTGAAAGAACTTCACTAAGCAGAACACCATTGTTTCAAAAATAAAAAAGAAAAAGGATCAACATTTTGAAAGATACATACAAAGAATCAGAAAGCATCGTGATTTAAAACTGTGATGGAAACAGTTTCTTGGGACATGGAGTCCTTCAGTTCAGTGGCTGTTATGGATTGGTTATCCTAAAGCTGTCATCTCAGGCCTTGTGAATATGACCTTACTAAAGAAACTGTCTTTGCAAACGCAACCTAACATAAGCGATACCATGCAAGATTAGGTGGCTTCTACTGTGACTTCATTTTCCTGAAATGAGAAGACTAGAGGGCTGGAGAGATGGCTCATTGGCTTAAGAAGATATAATGCTCATGTAGAGGACCCAGATTCAACACATCACACCATGTCAGAAAGCTTGCAAATGGACTCCAGTTCCAGGGGGATTTCATACCTCTGGCCTCCGCAGGCACCTGTATCCTATCTCACACCCACCCTCAACACATACATGTATTTTTTAAAAAGAAAAAAGGTATTAAAACAAAGAGCGAGACAAAACACAATAAATAGAAACAAAGCAACTATAAAGGCATAGAATGGGACTGGAATATTGCATCTGCAAGTCAGGGTATGCCAAGAATTGCAGGTATGCTCCAGAGACTAAAGGAAAGGCAGGGAAAATCATCTCTCCTAGACTGCAGAAAGCAAGGCCTTGGCTGCACTACAAAGTCAGATTTGCAGCTTCCAGAAGTGTGAGACAATGAATGCTGGTTGTTTAGACCAATCAATTTATGACACTTCAATAAGCTGCACTGGGAAATGAATGTAGCCACCGATTCTGATTTCCCGTTTGGTGAGCAGAGCAAAAGCAATATAAATTTCACAGCTACCTGCACAACCTTTATTAAGTTACTGCAGAAAAAATAAAGAAAATTAAAGGTAGCCTTACAGAAAAGTCTAAGCCTAGTCTCCTGTGAAGCCTAGTCTCCTGTGACATCAGGAAAGATATAATGCTAAAATATACTACCATATTCTACTTAGATAAAATTTATCATCTAAAGAGATGATTTGATATATACTATCTTAAAAAAATTGGACCGTCTCCTTCCCTCCCTATTCTAGCAATTATGTCCTATTAGAAAATGGAACAATTTTGTTTGATGTGACAAAATGTATGTGTTCCCTCATGTTAGAATTTTACTCCTAAATGATTGTTTAAAGATAAACAGTCAATGTCACTGGAGACATGGCTCCCTCAATAAAAGCAAAATAATGACTACACATATTACTTTATAATATATCACTCTCTCCTAAGATGCATTTATTCTTTTATTCCTATAAACAGGCACCAAACAAGCATTCCGCTTAGTCTTATGAAGACAGCAAACAATATATAGGACTTTTTGCTGCATACTTGTTTTGGGAATGAAATAATAACTTTTTCTTTATCACAGCTAGTCACCCATTAAAATGAAATTTACAAACCACTTTCCCCTGCTGACCATGTGCAAACTCTCAGTGTGAATCTATTTACACACACATTGTTACACACACATCTGTGAAAATGAGCCCACGTTTTAGAAAAGAACAGTAATCAGCTAGTCCCTAAACACTCATTTAATCAACTAAGTCTTCTCCTAACCTATATGGGAGAGCTTATTGATCAGATTTGACTTGCTACAATGTTTAGCTCTGAAATACCCAAACCTTCATTTTACAATGGCATCTACTTCTAAGTAAAGCCTAATAAATTCAGCCTGAGGCAGAGGGATAAAACTTGACCTATTATTTCCTGGTAGTGTTGCCATGGCAATTCATCTTTGCTAGCAGAGAGGAATGGCCATATATAGCTCTTTGACTCTGCTGTCAGAAACACCCCGACATACATCCCTCTTATGTGTTTCTGCTTATGAAACTCAGAGGCATTATTTTTAGTTAAGTATGACTTAAATAACTTAAATACTAAGATCTTTACGATCTTAATAAAACTACCAACCCAAACTGTGTAAAGGCACATTTTTTTTTCTTGTTTTATTTAAGGAGTTTTGTTTTTCTGTG